TATATATAGATATATATATATATATATATACATATTATATACATACATATATAGAGTTAGGTATATATATATATATATATATATATATATATATATATATATATATATATATATATATATATATACATATTATATACATACATATATAGAGTTAGGTATATATATATATATATATATATATATATATATATATATATATATATATATATATATATATATATATATATATATCATTAAGTGAGCAATTCAAGTGGTTGTGACACTGATCCAACTATGCTCGCTGTAATCTTATTATGGTTCAATTTATGAATCAATAAAATATTAGATAATTAAGTTTTAAATATCTAATTAAATAAAGTGTCATTGCTATGGATCAAGTATTTTTTATTAAATGAATTTCCTCCGTCTAAGCTGAGTTTTTAAAATATCATTTCACTTGAATTTTTTAAATCGTGTACAGTAAAATTAATGTATAAACCCATGCAAATTCTGGAACAGCTTAAAATGGGTGTTACTATTGAGTTATTTATTTACAGCATAACCATATCTTTTTTTTTTAAGATTGAAAACACAACCTAAAAGGGATTCATTTATTTAAAAGTTTAGAATCTAAGTCTCATTTCATCCGTCAAAAATCTGGTAAAATGTTTCTAGAATACGTAGGCTACATTTTGATGATGTAAAAACTATAAAAGAATAATGACAACCATAATGGAAATCTAACTCAAATTATTCCGACAATAAAATAGTATCACTAAAATGAAGATGATTAGGAACATTGAAAGCAAATGCAGCGCAAATGTTTTACATGGGTAGAAAAACAAGACCAAGCAAACAATATTGTGGCAAATGTTTTAAAGCTGATTTAAACAGAGCATAATTAAGTCAAACGCTGTGATTGTTAAAGGTACATGATGATGGTAAATGTTTATCGGATTTGATTCTCCAACTTTACTACTAGATCTACTTTGTTAAAAATACACAAAGAATAGAGTATTTTCCGGCCTGAAGATTTTGAAAATAAGTGTTACTAAAAATAAAATCTAACACACAAATGTCAAACAATGTATAAAATATTTATTTAAATCAATAAAATTGTTTCAAATATCACTTACACGTTATACAATTATACAGATATCACGAAAAGGTTAAAAATTAGGCTAAAAATTAAATGAATTAAAAAAATTAAAAAAATTAAATAAAAATGAAATCAAAATAGTTTAGCAACTAAATTCAATAATTAAAACGAGGTGACTATTAGTATGGACTTTGTGTAAAGTGACAAAACCTAATTTCAAAAAGATTTCAGTACGCACATTAATTTTTCAAAAAGTGATATCGGTAAACAAATTGTCAAAACTACCGTAATTTAACCCTTACATATACGCTGTACGTTTCTCACGCAAAAAAATCGTTTCATGTGATATAATTAGGTATCAGGTGAGCTGACTATAGGCTCATTTACCATTGTACCTGTGATCAAATTAGCAAATTACACTTAATTTTAATTAGTCGCAATATGATACATGTGTTTTACCAGTGATAGTTTCAAAGTTCGACAAAACGCTTTCACGCAGGCTGTAGTCTGACACACAGACAGGCTTAGTCTGACACACAGGCTGTAGTCTGACACACAGGCTGTAGTCTGACACACAGACAGGCTGTAGTCTGACACACAGACAAGCTGTAGTCTGACACACAGACAGGCTGTACATACAGACAGGCTGTAGTATGACACACAGACAGGCTGTAGTCTGACACACAGACAGGCTGTAGTCTGACACACAGACAAGCTGTAGTCTGACAGACAGACAGGCTGTACATACAGACAGGCTGTAGTCTGACACACAGACAGGCTTTAGTCTGACACACAGACAGACTGTAGTCTGACACACAGACAGACTGTAGTCTGACACACAGACAGGCTGTAGTCTGACACACAGACAGGCTGTAGTCTGACACACAGACAGGCTGTAGTCTGACACACAGACAGGCTGTAGTCTGACACACAGACAGGCTGTAGTCTGACACACATACAGGCTGTAGTCTGACACACAGACAGGCTGTAGACTGACACACAGACAGGCTGTAGTCTGACACACATACAGGCTGTAGTCTGACACACAGACAGGCTGTAGTCTGACACAGACAGGCTGTAGTCTGACACACAGACAGGCTGTAGTCTGACACACAGACAGGCTGTAGTCTGACACACAGACAGGCTGTAGTCTGACACACAGACAGGCTGTAGTCTGACACACAGACAGGCTGTAGTCTGACACACAGACAGGCTGTAGTCTGACACACAGACAGGCTGTAGTCTGACACACAGACAGGCTGTAGTCTGACACACAGACAGACTGACACACAGACAGGCTGTAGTCTGACACACAGACAGGCTGTAGTCTGACACACAGACAGACTGACACACAGACAGGCTGTAGTCTGACACACAGACAGGCTGAATCTAACCTACACAACCGTTCCGCCACACCAGCATTACAAACCCGGCTGAAATTTACAATTTTAATTTTTAAACAAATAAAAGTCGCCGATGCGTGGCGTTATAATTGATTTTTCAGCGTACCACATGACCCGGCATGCCATTAACTTTTCAGTGTGAAAAAAACCCCACTCACACACTCACACACACAAACACACACGGTACTAGTTCAAATATACTCTGGACGTACTCGATCATGTATTACTGCTATCGTTAAACTAAACTATAACCCTGACCATAACAGCGATACCGGCGTTAGAAAACAACATACGACGATACGATACTGGAGGGTAGCCTACTGTTCTAATGAGATGAAAAAGAGCAAAAAACATGAACCGAGACTAACATGGAGAGGGGATAGTTCAACCTCACACCTTAGTACTCCGAGTGACGGGAGGGGGAAATACAGCTAAGTGCAAGACAATTTATCTCAAAAACGTACGGAGGGTGGGTGGGGGGGGGGGGGGGGGTCGTCCAAAACGGAGAGGGATGAGTTAAGTGCAAGCATGTCGGCATCAAAGAGGAGAACAATTTCTAGGTGTGAGTAGGCGTACACCAGAGGATGTCTTGTAATGCCCCCCCCCCCCCGCCAACCAAACTATGTTTTTCTTGTTTGTACAACAGCCGGTATACTTCGGTTTGATTAGTACTACTGGTGTCATTAAATAGTATACGCTAATGCTATATATATATATATATATATATATATATATATATATATATATATATATATATATATATATATATATATATATATATATATATATATATATATATATATATATATATATATATATATATTTGACATTTATTATTTTTTTACCAACTAATTAAAGTACATTTTATAACAATAATAATGCAGTTTTTACTACAGATATAAATGTTTTTAACGTATAAATAAATACAAATAATATCAACATTGTAATGTTAATATACAATTCTCAATACATCCATTAAAATACCAATTAATTAAATATATTATAATTAAATAATTTTATGGATTTAATATATTATATTTTCTAATAAGAGGGATGAACACCAATGTGAAACAGGTACTTCAATAATCATTCATAGAAAAAACTTTTTTTAGAAGTAAGAAATGGTTTAAATTAACAGAGTAACCTGTGTGTTTTACTGTAAAGAGGGTAAATCTCGTTATAAAGCGGAGATGGAGTCTTGCTATAAATTATAATAAAGTCTCGCTGTAAAGGAAATATTTTGAATTCGAGGTTTAAGAGTCTGGTTGTAAATCCGGGTTTGAGAATCTCGATGTAAAGAAAAGATTTTGAGTAGCTGTAATGTGGAGTTTAATATAAGGTAAACATGTCGCCTTGCCGTAGAGCGAACCTTAAGAATCTAGCTGTAAAGCGGACTTTGAGAGGCTCGCCTTAAAGAAAACATGTCTTGCCGTAGAGCGAACTTTAAGAATGCAGCTGTAAAGCTGACTTAGGCTCGCTGTAAAGCAAACATGTCGCCTTGCCGTAGAGCGAAGCTTGAGAATCTGGTTGTACAGCGGGCTGCTAGATTGGTACAACCGGCCTAGTTGAGTACATCTAGCGCGGCTCGAGTATGTCTGGCACGTATCACGAATCAACACCCGCTGCATCAGGAATCAACACCCCGCCGAGGTAACCCACCCCTAACCAAAACAAAAGCGACAGAAACCGCCATTATCACCTGCGCTTCATTAGCAGACGACCAGCGCCGCTTGTAACCGACGGTATGTTTTTTTAATTTCCCCATTCTGCCTAACTCTTACAATTTCTTAACCTCTCCAAACTTTACTTTTAAAAAAAAGAAACTACGAGCTAGACAGAAGGTGATAGTTGTCGGGGTGTTAACTTACGCACCAATGTGCCACAAATGCGGGTTTATGTGCGACGTATCGGGCGACTTTTAGCGGGGAGCTGTGAATAAAGTTATTAAATTCATTACCCCCATGTAAGTTAGTTACGTCAATGAATTATCGATTATGTCAAATATTATTGGTGGCATACCGCACTTCCCCCACTCCTCGATACAGTAAACGCATGGGTTCCTAGCGGTATAAAATTTTAACGCAAATTGTATTTCATGATTACATGTGTGATAGCGATAGGAACCTACCGCTTTTCTTACAGAATATTCTATTTTTAATGTACAATTCAATTTAATTCTATTTAATTCTAAAAATATGTTTAATATCTCAACAGTGTTAATTAATTTAATTAAAATTGGTTTATATTAAGACACATACATTTTAATAGTTTAAATGTGTCCTAAAAAACAGAATATTCGGCGATGCTGAGGAATAATTTATTTTATAGCCGAAAATCGGAAATAAATCCGCAGGTTTTTGTAGGATTTGTTTTCTAAATATATAACACTGTTAATTTAGCATAGCTTCAAGCAATCTATGGTGCGTGCATGTATTCTTTAATAGACGAATGATTATAAATATATATGGTAAATGATTATTGCAAAGATTGATTAAAAAGATAGTCTAAGAGGTACTCACCGTCCGGATTTTGTAATCACCATTTCCGTGCCAATACTGTGGAACTTCTTCCAGAGATCCATCCCCTCCAGTTCTGCTTTAGGATCGTCTTTCACGTCAGAGTCTTGGGCCTCGGGGGGCCCGACCCCCCTCAGGGCGGCGGTGTACATGTCCCCTGGGTGGGAGAGGAAGTCCGAGGCAAAGAGGGGGAGGTTCCTGCCGAAACTTTTGACCAAGACCGAAGACATGGCGTGCTGGTTGAGGTGTAGCGCCGAGAAGAGGGACGGGTGGGGCGACGAGACCAAAGCTGGGTTGATGACGTGGCCGTTCGGGTACTCGTGGGGCGCCGATGTCACGGGGAGGAAGTACGGGTAGGAGGCGGCGGCCGCCATTCGAATCTTGGGGTCCTCGTATGGCGAGATGAGATAGCGGGGGTCGTGAGATTTGTTCTGCTGCTGCTGTTGTTGTTGTTGTTGTTGCTGCTGTTGCTTATGTTGTGCTGGTCTCTCTGAGGACATTGTTCACACCCTCCAGTAGAGATCAGGAGTCACCCTCAAGGTGCCGGGCACCAGGGCATGAGAGAACCTGAGGGGCAGCGATGAAGAGGTGTTACGTCATGGTTATGCAGTTTCAAATTCTAAACATTAGAAACATTTTTAATCTTAAGCTTGTGGTTAGGGACCACGGACACGGGTGCTTTATTTAATCTATTTTTATGGAATTCAGAAATATCGGGTGCATTATTCGCATTTTAATTATAAAGTTACTCAGGAACTATTTCCCAAAATAAAGCGATGCTATGGAGCCTTTTTCATCAGAACATAAAATACAACCTACAGACAATATACAGGATGTATGGTACCATTGTTATAATTAGAATTGGCACACATCTTGCTGGTTACAGTAAATCTTGTAGTCAGTTGTAAATGTCACTTTAATTCAAAACACGCGAAATTGAGTTTACTGGGTTTAGCAAATGCTATTTTAAAATGAATAATATTCACAAAAACAATATTTAAATAACTTAATTCAAAATTACCGGACACATATCTTGTAATTAATAGTTATGTATTAAATAATAATTGGTTTTATTAATAGAAATTAATATTGATTTTACAATCGTCATACACATTTTACTTTTAAGTTTAGAATGTTATCTTTATATTCTACATTCGTAAATGTAGAATTAAGAAGAATTAGATTTTCCAAAACTAAAACATATTTTAAGGAGTTGTATGATCTCTAATACATGAACTTTATAATTCCGTACACTTAACTAAACAAGCATATCTTACAAAATCCAAATACTAAAACCATCTAAGCGATTGGAAATTAATGTTCATCAAATATTGATGTGCCTTTAACCTGTGTGTTAAGCACGTGTAAAGCTGCAGCCGGCTAATTATTGATGAAGATAATCTACGGCCATTGCGTGGTCCCCCTTATCATGGCCCCCCGTAGACGAGAGTCGTCTTGGAGTGGGGAAAACCGGGGTAGGTCATATATTATTTCTTGAGACTAGTGTCGAGGGCGGGGTGGGGGAAGCGACACCCCCCTACCCCACCTACAGATATAGACTCTGGTCTAGGTTTTAACGGTCCACGGATAGATAGATGACACCACCCTCCCCCCTCCCCTCCATAAAACTGTCAGCTGAACCTATAGCTAGAGGCACAAATAGGGTACTAATATATTTTATTACGATCATTACGATTCAAGTTTTGAAAAAACCCAAACAATTAAAAGCTAAAAAAAAAACTTCCCTATGAAACAAAAAAAAAAAACAAACGATTGCACAATTGTGGCATTCATTATTTGAAAGTTATTTTAATATATTTTTTTAATAATAATAATAGTCAACCGTAAACCATATGGTAAAATAACGCTTTAAAAACTGGTATAATTAAATACAAAATAGAAAGCTAACAAACTTATTAAATGGTCCTTTAAAAAATACGTTTGGAAAAAATTTTTAATTTCCAACTTCGGGCAGAAACAATTAATTGTTTTAGATTAAAAATAAAACTAGATTTACTGTAGATATGCTAATTGCTATATTTACGGGAACTGAATTATATAGAGCTAGAATTATTGAGAACGAAAATTTGTAATTAAATAATTTATTGAAGGAGTTAAAGACACAGAATCTAGATTTACGACGAATCGAAAACCATGTCGGAAAAATGTAAATGTTTTCGCTTGAAATTTTCGTCAATGTAACTACATATTCCTAAAATGAAACCAAATACGCCTAGCAAGTGCCTAGATATGTAAATGTATCGCGGGACCCCCGTGGGACCCCTGCTGGGGTCGCTGTGTGTGTTCCCCGGTAGAACCCCTCCTACACGCTTAATCTGTCTTAAGACTTTTAATAACCGTTTTAAAGTTGTGCGGCGACGTAGCAGGGCTAAATGAGTCGGCCAAGGCAGACAGGCCGGCTAGCCGCAGCCGTTAATGTCTGGCTTTTGTTTTCATCCCGCCTAGCCTGTTCCGCACTTTGTTTATACCCGAACTCCACTTGTGCTCACGCTGGTTAAGCATCCCCCACCCCCTCCCTTCCTAATTTTATAAACCACAAAATATATATTTAAATTTATCTAATTTAAAAAGTTCATCTTAAAAATATTCAATAAACTTAAAATTTAAAAAAACAAATATTTAATACTCAATATTCATTTTTGTAAAACTATGCTATGAATTCAGTAGTTCATAGATTTTTTAATTATAATGTTCCCCCAAAACATTAATTACCCAGGTGAAGTCAATGAATTTTTAAGTAATCAATACTGATATAATTAACATCAAATTATTTTTTTTCTTGATTGAGCAATAAATAATTAGAAAAATTATTGATTATATAATGCATACTTTTGTTTTAATTAGTCCAATTTAAATTGGGCTTAAGCAAGAAGACGACACAGTCGAAGGGAATTAATTATCGTGGTTAAGTTATATTTTAAGACCAATTTAGGTGTGTTAATTTATGTAATTACAGAAAGCTAAAAAATTTAGATAACACAAAAACTATTCTGGCTTATAATTGCTGAATAACACATTTGAATGTATTAACTAATAAAAGAGAATGTTTCTTATATTTAAAAAAAAAAATTTGAAGTAACCGTCACCAGCCTAATTCACACATATATTCATTATAATTACATATTTTCCTATTACATACAAGTTGATTTGTGTGTTAGCTCACTTCAAATACTTAAAGTTAACAACTAGCCCTTCCGAAATAATGCGCAAAACAAATAGAATAATAAGTTAAAATAATATTTATGCAATAATCTTTCATGTGGGTACCACCAAAGTATAATAAAAATGAATAATTTATCTCAAAAATAACCTAGATCAAATTTTTTGTATAACGGAATAACTGCTCCACGAGTAGGCTATTCACTCGACCACACGGCCTACGGGTATTTGATACATACATTGCTAACTTGTTTAGTAAACGTTTAGCCATACCATTGCTTGCTTCATACGGCTACATCTAGATCTAGATGTAGTAGTATATGTCTAGCTCGGTCTATGACATCTGGATATACCGCTAGCTGCGATATAGCTATATGGCTATCTGAGATAGATCTACATAGCTAATTCGTTATATAGCTAGCTGCGTTAGATCTACAGCTATATGGCTCATTCGTTATATGGTTAGCTCAGACACAACTGTATGGCTGAATTGTTATATTACTAGCTGCGGAATTAGGTTATCTGCTATGATATACGGATACATTTCAGTTCAGTAGCAAACTATACGAATAATAATTAGCAATGTTACATCATTCATTAAAATTCTAAACTGGCCTATTAAATGCAGTTATTTATACCTTTATATTGATAGGCCCACTTTATTTAAACTTCAATATAAATTTGTACATAATTAATCATTTATATCATATAGCTCTATGACTAGAGAATGAAAATAAGCATCATAAGCATGCCATACTACTAACAAGTATTTAATACAAAAAATAATAAAGCGTAAGGGACGTCTACAACGGTCGTACCGGCTTATTTCGGGAAAATATATCAAAAGACCTACTCGATCTATATAAAATATATTAGTATTAGTATTATAATTATTTTAAAGCAAGAATTTAAGTAGTTTATGTTTAAAAAATATCCTATTTAGATCTAGATTTTCTAGATGTAACAAATCTGGGGAAAATATTTTGGTCTAAAAAAAAAATTAGACCGACTTTTTTTTATTCCGTGTCATTGCTGAAGTTCTTGAAACAACAGAACTAGAATCTAGATCTAGACTACATTGTGGTGTAAACTAACTTGTATGTTACATTGGGTAAAATAGCTACATTATACGCGAGCAAAGTAAATACTCAACAGCGAGGCGTATCGAGGGGAGGGGAGTGAGTCAGGTGAAGTTTTTCTAGGCTTTAGCCGCTAACTTCTAGATCTAGACAACTAGCTGGTAGAATAGTTAGAATTTAAGATGTACTTACCAAAAGTTTATATTTATCCTAAAAGTTTTTTAATGCGTAAGTCCAGTGGTTAAATCACGAGTTAAGAAATAATTAAAAATAAACACGAGCAAGCTGCATCACAAAATGAATTTCAACAATCTAGCACTGTAGCTATCAATGTGTGTATGACCGAGGCTATGGCGATCCTTCTTTTAAGTCTGTGTGCATTTATATAGGTAAAATTAAAACAATAGGCCTGACGAAGTGATCACAAGAATTCTTTGAAAAAGTTCATAACGAGGGCAACTAGTCTGTTGCCGTGCCGAGTTGTAGTGTGACACTGCGGCCAGAAAACCCGAGAAGGCCCACCATCGGTGGTGTGGAGAAAACCGTCCAGACTCGGCAAACCTCGCGACTCGGGCGTTAGACTCAACCCCGTTCCAATTGGCTGGGCACGAAGCCGACAGCCAATCAGCGCGCGGGAAAGGCGTGCGTGGTGGCGGTGTCGGCACTCGGGCCAGACACGTCGTCTGCCGGGAACTGAGCTCTTTATCGTGGCTGACAAAAATGTCAACACAGCCGAGGCGCTGTCGCCCGGATAAAACTCATCTGTTCTCCTCTTTCAGGGCTGAAATTCTTTCAAATATTTCACGAATTTCATCCTTATATCTAAAATTTAAAAAATAATATCGTTATATATAAGAAATGTATTGTAGATTTGAAATTTAGCGAGTGGTGAAAAAAAAACCGAGGGATAGACCTGGAGGCGAGGTTCAGTGAACAAAAAAAAAATCAATACGACTCGTGAACGACAGGCTGGAGCCAGCAAGGAATGCAAAAGCTTCATCCTGATTGGCGCGGCTAGGCCCCGCCCACGTGTTTGATTGACAGGTCGTAAGTGTAAACACGAAAGAGGCGTCCAAGGATCTCCCCGGCTGTCGAGACTCGGTGAGGGGTCCGCCGTCTGCTCAACAGCCCGTATAGGGTTACCGTGAATACTCAGAGGCCACTGCTGGTGGCGGAGGAAGCACGCGCGCTAATACGTCAGAGAAGCAAAGCGGAAAATTTGTGAAAGAAGGAAGAAAGAAACATTATGTACAAAGATTTATAGGTAAAGGATTGTTGGCTGTAAGATGAAGAGCCGCCGAGGGCTTTATTCTAATCTATAATTCGAGTATAAAAATCATCGTCTGTATCGTTTTTAACGCTAACATTTCTGAGCTTTAGAGCGAAATGAAATGCTGAAATAATAAAATGATTGATTCTATTCAAGTTTCAGAATTGCAATAAAATATTTTTTTAAACATTTTCTTTTTTTTTCTTTATTACAGTTTCAGCGAGGTATGCAAATTTAGCAGCGCATCGCTGAAACACAAACAATAAACTTGAGATAGAGCTACATTAAAGGATTGTAGGTTTGTTTTGTTAAGTATGTGCCATGTGGGAGAAGGGGGGGGGGGTAGGAACTTCAAAGTAAACAGATTTGAAATGTAATGATACTACGTATATGGGGACGTTAAAATTGTCCTACAGGACTTTTTCCACGACAGTAGTCCTACAGCAGCTGTCTGATACATATCCTAGAAAATCCGCCTCTAGTTATCTTTTAACAACTCTGGCGACACAACTGACCAACGATTATTGACCTACAACATGGGTCATAGAATTGTCTTACAACAGTCCTACTAGTAATGTCCTACTACAGATAACACAAGATTGTCCTACAAATCATACCACAATTGGCTTTAACAGAAGTCCTATGATAGTCCTACACAAACTATCCTAACACCGCTCCTAGCTATATGTGACAAAATCAAGTCTTTCCACAAAGTCTTATGACTAATACAACAATGGCATCCAACTAACTTATAACATAACACATCAACAACAGTAGTCATGTTGATGGGACCATTGGTGTAATGGGACCATTGACATGAAATGGGACCGTTGAAAATATTATAGAATGGTAGCATTGTATAGCCTGACGTAATGGGACTATTCCAAATATGACGGAAATAAGACTATTGTTAGTATGCTGTAATGGGACCATTAGTAATATGATATGATAGAGGCCTACCATTGTTAGCATTTTTTTTGGGGGGGGGGGGGGTTAATCCATAAGTGACGTCACGGTGTTTTTGGACGATTTTACTACTCCCCCCCCCCCCTTAGTCAAAGATCGTCATAAAAGCCACACCGACCCTAAAATGACGTCACAACTCAGCCTGCGACACACCCCCCCCTCCCCCTACCCCCTCATAATTGCATTTGAGCATTTTAAAACATTTTCCCCCCAATTTATTGGTTGAGCTTAGCCCACATAATAAATCAATATCTAGTACAATTTATTACAACAGTTTTCTAAAAAGCTAAATAACGGCTGAAATTCAATTTCGAACATGACTTTTTAAAATACAAAAGTTTGACGTCACACTCTCGAAGCCACCCCCGCCCATCCCCTTAATACCACATCGTCTCAAAATTACGACCCCCCCCCCCACATTTCGAGTATGACGTCACTCATGGACGACCCCCCCCCCCCCCCCCCCCCCCCCCCCATGAACATTGGACCATCATTATCATTGTCATTATTGTTGATATAATGGAACTGAGCAACTAATAGCATTTTGGAATGGGCGGGGTCAATCTCAATATGGCAGAACACGAAAACTGTTACTGCGACGGAAAGAAACCATTTGTAGTGTTGTGGAATGGGACCACTGTTAGTATGATGGACTGAGACTTTACTGGAGTGACGTAAGGGGACCAGTCGTAATATCACGGGATAAGAAGGGACGGAATGGGACCATTGGTAGTCTGGTGAAATGAGACCATTGATATGTACAGTGGAATGGGAGGCTACCCTTGATAAAACGGATTTAGACAATTGTTCATGTAGCGAAATCGGAAACTTTTAGTTTTATTCAAAACATATTCGGCTAATGATTAGACCAACGCCTATTTACGTTCGTTCCTTTTGACGTTCTAAGTCCATAACAGTGTTTCTTTCATCCTTTTTGTTCGGGGTGGGGGAGAGGGGGCGGGGACGCTTGAATATTTCGCAGTGGGAAGATTCATTATTTTTTAGGGGGAGGGGGGAGGGGGAAGGGGGGACGGGACGCAGGTAGAAGTACATATTCCTATATGAAGAGACGCCTGAAAGAAACTCTGGCCCATATACATAATTCGCTTTCAACCGTTCCGTTTTTGTGCTGTTAATTAGCGGATCTGTGGCGTAATTCCAAAAATCACTTGAATAGAGTGACTTCCCCTTGACGGTTCGGCGCCGCTGTGGTGTACACATAACTTGAACACACCCAATATATTCGGCCGTAACACTCAGCCTTCGCTGCGAAGCTACAAATACCGGAGTTGAACACACCCAAAATACTAGCCACAACACTCCGACTTAACCGTTTGAAAGTACCGGTACTCATGATAAGCTTGGTCGTGTCGGCAACTTAGTGCCAGCCGCATCAACAGTCAAAGTCATGTGTCAACAGTCAAAGTCATGTGTCAACAGTCAAAGTCATGACTGCATCACGACGCTTGACAAATCCATTCCGAGGTAGAAGGGTCTATCTGCCTGCTGACTGTATTTTAAATTGACGGTACCCACATACAAAACACATGACTTGCATCCCTATACCTAACCCCGGCATGCTTACGACACAAGGAAGAAAGTGACGTAGCTATCACCGACCTTAACCTAATCTTAATCTTGTTTATCCTTTAGTGCTAGGATTTCATACATCGATCTCCACTGTACGCAAACCTAATCGATATAGACCTCGTCGACACACACACACATACACACACACACACTAAGACACACTCACACATACACACCAAGACACTTACAAAAATACACACACGCTTATATATATATATATATATATATATATATATATATATATATATATATATATATATATATATATATATATATATATATATATATATATATATATATATATATATATATATATATATATCACATGAATCGGTTGAACACATCCGTGGTGACGACGGTTATTGACCTCTCGACATATTTCATGTAAAGGTTGATCACAGTTTACTGCCACAACACCCCCCCCCACCCCTACCCCACCCCTCCACTTGAGGTAGGTTTACAAATGTTTGAGCGAATATCGTGTGTCGTCTGCCGATTCTTCAAGTGGGCGCCATGTTTTTTTTTTTTTTAAAGGCGTTTTATTATTTTTCTATCATCGCCACAGTTAGGATCGTGGTTTGGTCAGACTGAAAGCTAGGCAGGGTCTCTTTAACGTAGACCTACCCTATCCCAAATCTCAAGGTAACCCTAAGCCGAAACCTGACTTGCTGACTCTACCTGAGAACTGTTAGACAGGTAGGGATACTATTATAACATTGACTGGACTAAGATAGACCCTTTGGCCTAGGCTAAAATACAGCTTTAAGTAGGTGTAAAAATTGACCTTTTAGCCTTACTAAAATAGACCTTTTTGGCCTAAACTAAAATAGACCTTTTGGGCTTACTAAAATAGACCCTTTGGCCTAACTAAAACAAACCTTTTAGCCTAACTAAAATAGTCCTTTTGGCCTAACTAAAATAGACCTTTTGGCCTAACTTTTTGGCCTAACTAAAATAGACCTTTTGGCCTAAACTAAAATAGACCTTTTGGGCTTACTAAAACAAACCTTTTAGCCTAACTAATATGAACCTTACTTTTAGACCTAAATCTATTTCTAAGCAAACATTTTAGACTGGTCTGAAACAGACCTTTAGGCCGATACTAAAACACAACTGTATACTTACACTAGATTATACTTTATACTAAAATATATACCTATTAGAATATATATTATAATATTTAACTTCGTAATAAAATACGAACTAGTACCTTAACAGTTTACTAAAATATTCACTCATCCTATAGTAAAATTCATGTATAATAAAATATATCCCTCTACTATATAATATACATCTTTATAGTAATAAACCTTGATACTTAAATAATATAAACAATGCTGTATGCAATATAATATCTTGTATAACAATACAATATTATTCCGAACTAAACAACGATAATAAATATACCTTGCTGACGTACTAGAGACAAGCCCGGATATCAACTTATTCAAATTAAATCAATCCAAGCCTTTTTCTTGGAAGAAAAAAAAACCAGAAAAAAAGCAGAAAATGTGAATGTTGGTTTTTTATTCCCAGGTGTTAAGTTCACAACAATCTACGAGATTAGCATGAAAGCGTTCTGGCGCCTGGGTGCTAAAAACGGTAGATCAAACACCATACATAATTCTGCTTGTCGTCAGAATAACCGCCAAATAGATTGATAAAAAAATAAACAAATTGAAAATTTTCACTTTCGAAATCCTATTGTCTGCATGTAGACTC